TTTTTGTTCTGTGTTTATATTTTCTAACCTATGTATCTTTTTACCTTTGGGATATCTGTCAGTATAGTAGCCAGCTGAGCGTATGAGCCCCTGAACCATCTCTCAAAGAAAGGAACTTCAATGAAGCTTAACACTGTTACAGTTTTCTAAGTAGGCCTGTATACCTCTCTCTGCTTGGTCCAGCTAGTTGCCATATTTAAATAAGAATGATAATTATACAAGAGTCCTAAAGACACATATTGTTAGTTCCTATGGATTAAAAAAAAACCAAAACCAAAGAACACCTCCCACAAACCAAACTGAAAGGACGCTTTTCCACAGGGCAGTAGATGAGAACTGAGTATCTGAGACAGGTACAGAGTTACAGCCTGAGGTGCTGCTTCGCTATTTCTCATTTTCCTTCTCACAACTTCACATTTTACTGTTTCTGTGCTTTATATTAACGATTTTACTAGGATTTTAAGTTGGGAGAACAAGGTGTGTGTGAGGTACCAGTGCTGTGAATCAGCAGAGGGCACTACGTGCCTATAAACCCGTGTAACTGTGACTTAACGTGCAGAGTGACGTCTTGGTGAAGTTAGCATCAGTTACTCCAAGGTTTAGACAATTTAGCTGAGGCAATATTGGTGCTCATTCAATGATGCAGAGAATGCACCACACCATCTCATTTTTTCTGATGAAAGCTGACTATATTTATAAGATGTTTGCACTGTACTATAAAAAAAATACATGGATTATTCGCACTAGGGGTTTTAATACTGCATCCCATACAGACACTACCTGGGTACATAACGTTTAGGGGAGCATGAGGTTGTCTTGTGCCTGCAAAAGCAAACTTTCTCCCAAGATCCCCCTCAGTGTTGAGACACTGATGATATTTCCTGGCAGAGTGTGCCCTTTCTTGGCCAACCATTCACTCACTCTCACCCTCCCAGGAGGAAGTGTGTGGCATCCAGTCCCTATGCCCTCCCAGCTGCTGGGGTTGATACTCAAGGGGCTGCTGATATTCGGCTGCCATGCTGTGTTTTTTTTCCCCTGTAATAACCCACTTCTTATGTCAGCTATTTGACCTGAAACAGAGCTGATTTATGCAGAGTTTATTTCTATAGTACTTATATTACATGGGTCCAGTGTAACTAAGCCAAACATTGGTTGACGTGTAACAGATGGATGAAAATATCTACTGGAAATGGTAATATTTGTGACAAATGCTGCATTTCTCATTTCCCTGACTGTTTATTCCTGAGACAGCTGGGCTGCATGAATTTCCTCCCTATAGTTTCAGCTTCTTCATTATGCTTTAGCCCATACTGCAGCAACAGCCTTTGTAAGCAGCAAGTGACCCATACGATAGCAGCTAGACCACCAATTGCTGATGCTGATGTTCTGCTTTTGGAAGCATTGCAAGTGGCATCATGAAGCAGTTTCTAAAAAAATGCATATGCCTGTATGCAATACCACTAAGACCTAAAAAAAACAAGGGCAAGAAATACTTTTGAGCATTCTAATACTGCTGTTGAAATATGTCAAATGATCAGAAGGGGTGATTATTATTGCTGTTTTTTTACTGCTCTGGTTTAGATATAAAAGCATTTGAAAATGAAATGTTTTGTACATCTTGGGGCATATTTTTTGTCTGTATCTTGGGTTTTTTTTTTTTTTTTTTAGAGATTATACAGCACCAGGAGGTATGGAGAATGCTATTCCCAGCATTATGATAGAAATAGGCAAATTTTGCCTAAACATCAATAAGATTGTTCTTTTTGCAAAAGTGCAAATTCATCAGAAGTAGAGCTGAAATGTTTCTGTTTGTTGGAAACTACTCAGAGTTATATGTAGTCTTTCTTTTGTGCTGCCATTTTTTTTTTTTCTGTGTAGAGCCTAGTCTTGCAGTTTCTTCTCAAACAAAAATCTAATTGACAGCTCCTGCAGTTTTGTCTGTGTAGGAAATAAGGATCAGGCCTTAGGTAATGTCTTAGAACCTCTTGAAAGTAACTTTCACAGAAGACTCCTTCACTTTTATGACTGTTTTTATTTTCCCAGGTTGAAGTTTGTTCTTGTGCTTTATGAAACTTGTCACCCCAGATTTCTGCTCAAGAGACATACCCAAGATTTCCCTTTCAGCAGTTCAAATGCAGTGAAATAGAAGACTACTAAAACAAAGATATATTATGTATGTCTCTTAGCTGTGCGCTCATAACGAAGCACCACAGGGAATTCATAAGGCTTGAGTTAACTCAGAGGGGATAACTCAGTTAGGATTGCCTCTGGCAGAGCAGGAAGCTCAGAACAAAATCAATAATTGAAATAACCCATTCAGATGCTGTCCTGGTTTTCTTGAGCACAGCAGTGTACATGTTTCATAAATCTAAATCTGGGAAATGCTAGGTACTTAAAACCACACTGATACACTCTCTCTGGAATACCTGCATGGTGTTTACACTAGTGAAGGGTGGCTCCAGTGTTCAGAAGAAGGCACTGACTTCTTGCTGGCATAGCAGTTAGTTATGGAATTTTAATGTGCCCAAAAAGGCTAAAAGGTAGTTACCAGTGTGGTTCAGATGTTACTGACTGGAACAGGAAGGTAGTCAGTCTGAGAGCTTTTGCTGCTCTTCTGTAGCCTTTTGTCAGCAGAGTATGAAGATGTGCTCCAGTTCAAATTAATTTCATGTAAGGGATTCCATAATAGTATGCAAAAGTTCATGTCAAGACCAAATGCTTCTGATGAAACAAACTTGCTGAGTTAATCTCCCTCATCTACAGGGATATGTTTTCCTGATTCCAGTTAAATGTATTTTCATATGGTTGAGCACGAGAGTGGTAGAAATGCACTTTTGTTCCATGCTGAATTAAAAACAAAAAAAACCCAACAAAAAACCCCACAAACCCTCCATTTTTTGGTGTATTTTCGAACATGTGCTCTAATGTCCAGTCTTAAGTTGGAAATGCTCAAGTTTTCAACCTTGGAACCTCTGGCTCATGAAGTGACTGGAAATCTGCTGTGGTGATGATAAAACTACTGGTTGAAAACTTCTTAAAATTTCATGCTTTGACATTTTACAAACCAGAATCTCTCCACAAAAGCACTGCAAAATGAAATTGTTGTGTTTCAGGTACTGCTTCATAAGTCCATATGCTGAAGAACTAATTCCTTTCTTCCCACAGTTCACTTTCACTTTCTTCCTAACTTTTATTACCTTGGTGTTTCTGACTAGGTGAAAAGACAGTTTCTTCTTTATTTTCTCTAACATGGTGGGGTTTTTTTATAAACTGCCTTTCTCTTTTTCTTTTCCTTACATTTAATTTTTGGCCTTACTGCTTTATAAGTATCTCTCGCTTTGAATTAGAATTCGTCAAAGTTACTAGCCAGCAAGGTTATATCTCACTTGGTTATTTCTGGACCAAGTTTTGGTTTTGAGTCTTTCAGGATCCTTTTGTGCCCTTTTACTTTCTCTTCTGGTGCTTTCAAACACCTGCAGATTTGAATAATGTGCTCTCTGTCCCTTCTTTCACATTATTAATAAAGAGGCTAAATCAAATCACACCTGAGAGTTAAGTAAGTGGTCTTTAGATACTTCTTGTCAACAAGACACAGTGTTGTTGTTACCTGGTTCTAAACACTAAATTTTGATGCAGTATTTCTTTTGAAGCTAGTGTAAATATTTTATTTTTTTTTTAGTGATGGATTCATGTGGCACTGCATCAAATACCTATTAAAAGTTAGTACTTCTACCAGTTGACATTCATGCCGATGCAGTGCACACTTAAATACATAATTTAATATAAGCCTTGAAAAATCAGCTGTGGTACACGCTATGGCCTTTATTGTTTATCTATTTTATGGAGTCCAGAAGGCACTGTGAAAAAATGAGTAACTACACAGTACTAATGAGCATTTCTTTGTGAATTTTTAAAGCTGTTATGCTGTCATCCATATAGTCAGCCAGGGAAATCCCATCTAAATAAAAGAGCTTTACAAATTACCCATCTTCTTCCACTCTTAATTCAGCTAGACTTTCTGAATATCTAATAGTCAAGATATAGATATATAAAATCTAACTATTAAATATATAATGATGTAATTAGGACATTCATATGGGCCACACTATCAATCTCTGGAATTTGTGGCCAGAGGTGTTGGATTAGGAAAATGAATCATTAGTAGAAAAAGCTACTTTTTCTATAGGGTGGGAGATTTTTGTTAGCTGAAAGCAGTTTTTTCCAGGAAGGTCTCCAAGATACGATTTTAGCGTGTAATAAAGCTCATCACATCTGCTTCTGCTGATTTTGAAAATAAAAAACCCCACTAAATACAATTAACAGTTCAGTCTTTTAATGAACCTTTAAGAACATAAAATGTAACCTGTTTTGCTTTTTCAGTAACAAATAGCCAATTTTTCATCTCAGTTGAGCAACGCTGTTCCATCTCATTTTTTTTGGTCTAATCTTAGTGACTCTACTGCAGGGTATTAGTTGTTGCTCAGAAGTGCCCAATAAAAGCTTTGAAGACACAAGGCAGTATCAGTTCTACAATTCAACTGTGTATCACACTTAAGTTGTGTGTGTACAAAAACAGGATGACAGAATGGTTGAGGTTGGAAGGGACATCTAGTCCAGGTCACCTCCAGGTTGGAGGTCATCTAGTCCAAACCCCCATGCTCAAGCAGGTCTACCTAGAGCCAGTTGCTCAGGACCATGTCCAGATGGGTTTTGAATATCTCCAAGGATGGAGACTCCACAACTTCTCTGGGCAACCTGTGCCTGTACTCGATCACCCTCACAGTGAACACATATTTCCTTACATTCAAACGGAAGCTCCCATTGCCTCTTGTTCTGTGCGCACACAGACTGGTCTGTCAGAAGCTGTTACATGTATTGATTGAATTTGTGCTTTCTTCCTGTGAACACTTAACCATTTGGTGCAGCTTCCCACACGTAGAAGCCATAATTATGGTTGTATTTGTTTTTTATTATGTTTTTGTTTGTTTTTCATCTTGTAGGGTAAGTCTTACCCTTTTAAAGGTCCATTCCCTCCTATGTGGAATCCATTGGCTTACCTGGACTACAACAACCTATGGAGGACCATGGATGAAATGGGAAAGGAGGTATGGCATGAGGAATTGCAGCTGACTGTCTCAGCTCAGCTTTGTCTCCGTGAGGGGCAGAGTGAAGATGGGACTAGGATGCAGATATGCTAAGCTGTTTGAGCTTGAACAAACCTGGTGCTGGCAAGAGTAGCATTGTGCCGTGCATTTTGGCATGCACTGATGGTCAGACAACGTGTTATAAGTGGCATCCTGGCAAGCTTTTCTGAAGGCCATGCTGCTGAGGCTGTCTGCAGTCATACCTTCGTTTTTCTGGATATATGAACATTAGGGTTTATGCATGTGATTTTTGGCACTTTGCCTGGTAAATAATATTTTAAGGGACTTGTAGACCTCAAATGTAGTCCCTTCTCCACCCTGAAATTCAGCTCAACCATTTTAGTTTGTTGCCAGTAGTGTATGTTTTACTACAAGACTTCGAGAAGAGGTTGTCGTTACTTGCATAGATTAATGGGAGAGAAATGGAATAACTCAGAGACTTTCCCCAGCACTGTACTTTGCCTTTCTAGGCAAAGTTATTAACACTAAAATTATTCTCTATTATTCAATCTAAAAAAAAAAAAATCTTAAAACAAAGAAACAACTCTTTGAAGTTCACTGTATTACCTGCCAGGAATTGGCAGTCTGAATTACCTTGTAAAGATGAGATTTTTTTTGCGATTGTTGTCTCTTTCTTATGCCACTCATTTATTTGCTGATGAAGGCTCTTTCATGTCTCCTTAGATTCCCAGTGAAGCCCCATGGAAGGCTCCACATGCAGAAGAATGGGACAAAATGACTATGCAAGATTTAATAGATAAAATTTGCTGGACAGAGTAAGACACTTTCAAATACAAAATATTAATAGCTTTTATCTACATACCTTAGAGATACGACTACCACTAGAATACAGCTTTTTTTTAAAAAAGAAATGGGGTGGAGAAAATCTTGTAATAATGGACCACAACACCTGTCAGCACACATGGCCTATTCTGTTATATTTATGTAACTTTTTAAACTAAAGAAGAGATGAAAGGAAAATGTATTTGGGGACGGTTACTTCTGAAGACATAGATAATACCTTCATCTGTTATATGCACTTTCCCTCTCTTTACTGTGTGTTTAACTTTTAGGAGAAAAGTGCTCTGGCTCCAGCAGGTTTTTGAATCAAACTTTTGATGGAAAAACACACATTTATTCTGTGCTGGACTAGCTGATTTTACCAAAGTGCTATAAAAATAACATTTGTCTTGAAATAGCACTAAATCACTTTTAACACCCATCATTCTATTGTTTAACTGCTGCACTATATAACATCCAGGAAAACTGAAAATGCTTCCTGTTTTTACATATACATCAAAGCTGTTTTCCTTTACTTGCCATTCAACAGCAGTTTGATTGGTTTTCTTCGCACTGAAGAAAAACAAAACAGTAATTCTGCCTCACTGTAAAGCAGATTGATTTCTACAGCATCCTCTTCAGAATTGCTAAGCACTTGACAATGAACCTGCATGAGCTTGGTGCAGAAGCCTGCTAGCATCCACTCAAGCTGAAGCTGTCTTTCTCAGGGGCATTTTTACTGCTTCAGCCAGCTTCTAGAGAGCAACATGATCATTGTTAATGGACAGTAGGCTTTTGTCCAAAAACTTTTAATCTTCTGGTTGTTTTTCTTTAACAAGAGTTACAGTTGCACAAAAGCATATAGAAAGTCTTTCTCATTTTTTTACCACCATACATATTGATTAAAACCAAATAGAAATTTATGCTGGCAGTTCTGCTGGCCATCTGAACCTCTGATTTGGTAAGGAACTGTGCAAGTTACCAAAACACCATGCACCAGTAGTCATTCAGTATCCAGCACGTGACTACAGTAATATTTTTTTTCAAATTCTGATGGAATAAGACTTGACATTTTACTTTAATATTGACATAACTGTCAGCCTCTCTTAATTCCAAGATGGTTTTCAAATTTTATATGTGCATGTCAGCTTGATTTGCCCAGCTTGTTCGAGATTTAGGTAACATGCTGTAGAAGCTTCCCACTCTGGAAGGCAATGGTCTAACAGACTGTACAGATTTGCTTTTGGCTAGAATTGTGTTCTGGAAGTATCCTGAGTGCTCTTGGTTGAAGTCATACTGCCATTTCTAGGTAAAATACCTGGAGAAACTGGGGAGCTGAAATGCTAAAAAGCAATGGGAGAAGGTGTCAGAAACTGGGATAATTTAACCACTATCTAATAACTTCTGCTTGTGAAATATTGATAAATATATATACTAATTCTCCAGTTAGAATAAGTATCTTTCAGAGTTGATCATATTTTACAATGTATGTTTATATAGGCAAAAATTAAAAAATATTTTCTGTATTATTTTTGGCTGTCGAGAATGAAGCTAGAATGCGTTCATATTTCAGAAAATGCATCAGCTTTTTGCTTCAGCAAAAATCAGCAGGACTTTGCATTTTCAGAAAGGATAAGAGATGCCTTTTTTCCTATGTAGATCTGCAGCTGTTTGAATTAGTATGTTTGAGTTACGCTTTTCACTCCCCACCCCCCCAAGAAAAGTTCAAAGACTGAAAAAAGAAAGACACGACTAAAAGTGGATTCTGTACTGGTTTGGGAAGTTATTGATTGGCTGATGCCTGGTGTATGAAATACTTACAGAATCTCAGTCCCTGTCAGTCACAATACAGTTAAGCTGAGCATCTTCTGGTCCTCTCCACGTCTCTTTAAACTCTTCCTCAGAGTAAGGGCAGAGTAAGTATTACTTCTAACAGGAGGAATGTTTCCCTAAGCCTTAAGTAACTCTGTCTTAGTGCACCCTGATATCTTATACAGGTTTATACAGTAATTTTCAGTAGAGCTGTTATGAAAGCACCAACTGGAGGAGAGAAAGCAGTGATCAGGCCACTTTTCCCACTTCTGTGTTCATCACTGCTGGCTACCAGGCCACTGTTTAAAATACTGATTTAAGCAACCAAACATATCCTTTCCTTTTTCTTGACAGACTTTTGCATGAATGTGTACATGTTGTCCTTTTGTATGAACGTGTATAGGCTTCCTACTTACATTTCTTTCCTTGTTTTCCAGCTGCAGCACCCTCCCTGAGCACAGTAGAGGAGTGGGCAGTGAGGGGATGCTGACAAGTCCAGAGAGTTTAGATAATTAGCTTAGACAAGATCCCCAACTTCTTCATGACAAGTGTTGAATAATCTCTGTGCTGTGTGCTTGAGGGACAGGCTCCCAGCAGGTGCAAACAGACCTGTGAATCTTGGATGTAACCCAGGAACCATGGGAGGACATGGTGATTTTGGTGTCCAGTGAAGACAGGAGGGCTTGCTTCTCTTAATCCCAAGGCTAGAGTGACAAGTTAACTTTATATTAGTAGCATACAGTGACATAAGTTTTCATTGGCTCTTGTGCCTTGTGGAGCCCTAATTCTGCTGGAACATGGCAGTGCTTGATTAACATTTTTTTGCAGGGTTACTTGAAAAATGTTGTATAAAAGGAATTGTTTTTGTTTCCTATTTCAACTGAAATTAAGGGATCCTCTACCCTCAGTGAAAGAAGACATTGCTGGTTTCTCTCCTGCTAAAGAACAAGATTGTCACCCTTCAGTCTTTAAATTAACTCTCTTTCTGGTCTTTGCTGCAGTGCTGCCAAGAGTTTTGCAACTCTGTTTGTGAATGTGGATGTCACTTCTGAACCTCACGAGGTCTCTGCCCTTTGGTTTTTGTGGTATGTGAAGCAGTGTGGAGGGACAACAAGGATATTCTCAACAACCAATGGAGGGCAGGTAGTGTCATCCATCACCTTCTGCAGCTTATGGCAGCCCTGTTTTAACTTCATTCTTTTACTTGTTTATTTTAGTTCAGAGGACCAACTGAGATGTCCATGACTTTGAGCCAGTAGCACATTGATAACTAGTTCTGTTAATTTACATTAGTCTGGATCTTGCAAAACTAATATCGAAGGCTATTCTCATGCTGGAGGTGCTGGCCCAGGGATCAGTAGATTAGCATCAGTTCCTGACTCTGGCTTCCTTTTGGGCTCTGGTTAGAAAAAGTACTCTGCTTTTCCACTTAAAAAAAAAAAGAAAGGTGTTACTTATGCTTATTTCTGTCATGAGGCTGAAGCAAGGCTTACCACTTCAGAAGCACTTAATGGGGATGGCAACGCTATCTCCAGGAGTGTGTAGAGTACTCCAAATTAATACTGAAAATGTCATCCAGAACTGGGTTCCTGAAGACACTAGCTCTGAGGATTAAAATTGAAGATTTAAAAATCAGTCTGAAGAAAATTAACACTCCTGCTTAAATATGGTATTGCTCTGAAATGTTTGAAATCTGGTGTAATAGTGCTGATTCTGCATTTCAAGAAGGTAAAGACTCTGTTAATGGTCTTACACATGAGAAATGCAAATTTTACTAATTATGTTAGAAATAATTAGATTTTAGAAATGCAAATTATTTAATCATAAATAATTAACTAAAAATATAAAGAATACGTTCAAACATGTTTAAATGCATAAATTTGAATAGATAAGCAATAATTGTAGATAATTTAACTTTATATACATTGCATAAAATATTATTTGAATTCTCTGTTATGTTAGAGGTGATTTGAGTTTAAGTTAGGCTAGATTACACACTTCAGGATACATTTTTGGTGTGAGCTATGTCACTTTTTTATACCTTGTTATTTATTATGATGATCAGGGATTTACTTCTGACAGGCAGATGTCTGCAGAAACAACAGTGAACTCAGAGAAGGTTTTAAAATTTTAAGCACTTTTCAGAAGTCTTGCTGATTCACACAGGTCTGTGGAATCCATTTGGAGACCACATGAAAAAGGATTTTCTCATAAGGTTACTGATACTCCTAGTTTTGGCTGGTGGTCCAATAGGGAAAGTGTTCGAGGAGTTCATTGAAAGAGAAAGGAACATTAGGACGTTTTCCAAGTGAGACCGGTGAACTTTCCTAAAAAGGTTTGGTAACAACAGAAGAATGGGATTTGTTTTGAATTCCAAGCAAAATGTTTGTCATGATACAAGCTTCACATATATCACTCTGCTGATTCTGCTTTGCTGAGTTGTCATTTTCTGTGTTTCAGGAGAGGAAGTTTGTTGGGGGCTCTGGCCAGATCAGTGAGAAAATAATGGAGCGCCTGGGCAGCCGGGTGAAGCTGAGGAAGCCAGTGATCCGCATTGACCAGTCGGGTGAAAGTGTCATAGTGGAAACCTTAGATCATGAGTTATATGAGGTAATGAAACCTCTAACATTTAAGCAACTGTTTGTGCTGGGATGACTAGAAAACCTTTAGCTTTTCCTTTTTGACTGCTCCAAAATCCTGTACAAAAATGTAGCAGAGATTAAAGTGACTATAACAGAAAATCACACTTTCTCATTATCCCCAAGTAGTAACAATGACAGAGCTTTAAAGTGATGCCTGGAAAACAAAGTGTATATTTGAACTCTTCCTTCACTACCATCTCTTCTAGTATTCCGTTACCTTCAGAATGAAAGGAAAGTTGTAAGGTGAACACAAACATGCAGCTTAGTAATAAACTTAGTAAAAAAACATTTCAGGCTTTGCTTCCAAGTTGTAACAGAGGAGTCCAGATGGAAGAGAGACCAGTGGACTTTTGTAGCACAGAAAATCTTTCCACTGGCTTTTTTTCAAGCACTAGGGAAAGAGCAGCTGCCCATCATTGGAACAGATGGCTGTTTATATAATGCTTGTTTGTTGTTTAACAGCCAGGATTTTGTGAGGGTTCAGTTTTGCAATTCTTATGCTAAATGCCAAAATTGCTTCAGAAGATACACCCTGCAGCCTCCCCAGATGTCTGCAAAAATCATTAGAGCAATATACTTAGGATGAAGTAGTAGAGAACTTACTTGGCTTATGTATAATTTCTTTCTTTTCCAGGGCAAATATGTGATCAGTGCCATTCCTCCAGCTCTTGGCTTGAAGATTCATTTCAACCCACCTTTGCCACCAATGAGAAACCAGCTCATCAACCGAATCCCCATGGGCTCAGTCATCAAATGCATTGTGTACTATAAGGAAACTTTCTGGAGAAAGAAGGGTATTTTGTTTTTATTGCAGGAAAGGGTAGTGACAGAGAGAGGGAAAAGCATACATGGTAATGAAGTAGACTTTGTGTTTAGAAGATGCTGGACCTTAGAAGGAGAATTTTAACACTTCTGTGCCATTTTTTGCCTTTCCCTGTTTGAGAAACTTGAGAGATAGGTTGGGAAGAGAGGGTGGATGGGGGAATAAAAAGAAGGAGGTAGGCGTGAAGGGAGAACTCATGTCTGTTGCTTATTACCTTAGTTGTTCTTTGTTGTCCTCTCCTGTTTCTTCAGTGGCACTTGGGTACGAGATGAGTCTCTCCCACTTGGACAGTAATCTAAAGGTATAAGTGATATGTGATGGAGAGAGGTTTTATCCTATCAGTTATCAACCCACAAAAACTCTGCCTTCTGGATGCACTAGGCAGGATTAATTTAAGATGTCTTCACATAGACATGCCTAGCTGGGCTAGCCATCCTGCACTCCCTTTACATGCTGAATGCTTTCCTCATGATTTCTCAGATCTCTTTTAGAGCTTACCAAATCTAAGACCATCTGCAATGTAATAGCACCCATTTCTCTTCACTGGTTATAAAGAGTCCACATCTGTGTTTGTCTAAAAATGTCATCCACCCTTCATCTCTGTGAATGATTTTAAGAGTTCTGGACCCTGGCATATTCTGGCCTTTTAGGTTTGGGTTGGATTGGCAAGAGGTGACTCCCATTTCCTGGTAGAACCCATAGTTTATGTACTGTGCTTTGCTAACAATGTTGTTCTTTTAAGAACAATTTGTTTCCTTCAGACTCGTCTTTTGAGAACAATTTTGTTTTCAGGACAATGTACAAATATCTGTCTCCCCCTATGTCTGACATAATGTCATATATGGAAACAGTTGTGCTAGAGGCACTTGAACATCTTCAGTATCTGAGAGCAACCTGTTTCCATGCAATTAATAATTTATTTTTCTATCATTAATTCAACAATAAGAGAGTCCTTTATTGACTTTCTGTTTTAAAGATGCTTGAAAAGGATTGTTAATTGTCAGCACATTTCGGATCTGAATTTTCTCCTCTAGAGATGATCTAGCACTTCTCTGCGCCAAAGGAACACTACGCTGCAAGGGAGCTGTGTGCTAATCGTTGTCAGTTGATGGGGATCGCTCTTCTTTGTTTTCGTATCTCCCTACATTAGATTCAGAGAATGAAAGAGGTTGAGAGAGACCTCTGGGTGTTATTTAGTCCAATGCCTTGCTTAAAGCAGGGTGAATTTCAACCAAGTTGTTTAGGGCTTTTTCCAGTCAAGTTCTGAGTATCTCACAACTCCTTGGAAGCTCATTCCTGCATTTGGATGCATAGGTCCTAACTTCTTTTCCACTCTGCTTACCAGGGTATTGTGGTACCATGATCATTGAAGATGAGGATGCTGCAATTGGTTTAACGCTTGATGATACTAAGCCTGATGGCAGCTTTCCTGCCATAATAGGGTAAGAGACAAAGAAGGTGAACAATTGAAACAGAAATCTTGCTACTTTTGAAGGGAAATACTTGAAAATAGTTCAAGGGTTGAGTTTCTCAGTGTGTGGTGAATATATTCTATGAACTTTTCTTTCAAATAAATTCTCCCTACAATTTAACTGCTAATTTAAAAAGGTGAAATTCTATTTTTCTTCACTTTTTCTCACTGTCATCTTTTGCCTTTTGGTGTGGCAAAATACAAAATTGGAGAAGAAGAAAGGAAGGAGAATAAAAAGGAAGTGATTGCAGAAATGTAAAATTTTCTCCAAATATTTTGCTTCCCCTGAGTCTTCCAGTTTTTAAATTAAAATTTGTTTTCTAGAATTATATTTTGTTTTGTTCTGTTTTTTTAAACAGCCAGAGTATGACCAGTCTTAGAAAGTTTATTTACCAATAATTTCTAGTTCAGTCCCAGGCTTCATCTCTTGCTGCACATACTGCTATATAAAATTAAGGTCATTGGGAAACAGCTCATAAAAATAACCTAACCTGAATCTCAGAGTGGTTCCTTCCATAATAAGTCCTGCAAGCAGCAGGCATAGCTTGTAACCTTATGCAGAGAGGTGAAATGGATATTCTGAATAGAGATCCAAAAGCTAATACTATATATCACAATAAATCTCATCATAAGACACTGGCATTTTAAATAATGCAGGAAATATAGTAACATAATGGAAGTAAATTGCGGTTTTCTTTTTTTTTTTTTTTACAGCTTCATTCTTGCTCGGAAGTGTAGAAGACTGACAGGTCTCACAAAAGAAGAAAGGTAGGTACAAACACTGGAGGTCTGCATGGAATCTGAGTCAAAATTTTGTTATAAGTTACCAGAACAGGAAAAAAATGCCCCTATTTGAAGGAATTTGTCTGTAACTTTGCTACAGTAGGAGGACATGTCACTTTAAGGAGGAAGATCTCTTATTTTTTTTTGGATGAAGACCCCACAGAATTCCCACAAAGAGGCAGCAGATGTGGTAGTTCGACCCTGCCCTTTGGACACTCTCAGGTCCTGGTTCTCATTTTCCAGCAGGGCTGCTCTGATTATATGACTTTTGCAAAATAACTGCTCTAAGCTGCTGCCTATGAAAGTAGTGTAGATATTATGCTGCCCTCACTGGAAAGTGTCCAGGGCCAGCCTCATCCCTACCACTGCTACCCCTCTGGCTTTTTGCAAGTGCACTGAGCTCTTTGAAAGCTTGTCAGCAGGGACAGGTTTGGCCCCTGTGCTTGATTTTTTTTCTAATCACCCTGGAGAGTCCTTTCAGTCTTTGTAACTTAGTGCAACTCTGGGGCTCTGGTACCTGCCATGGATGAGAACTCTGCATTATAAAGGAGGCAAAAAGCTGCCTCTAGCTCTCCACCCTCAGTTATAAGGAAAAAATGCCCTTCAGGCACAGATGAAGGTCTTTGGTACTGTCTTGTTGAAACAAATGTCTGCATACAGTAGTGCTCTTTTGTTTATTACTAAAATAGAATTTACAAAGTAATGAGTCTTTTTCCATCATGCTGATTCACAGTATCTGACCAAATTAAAGCTACAAGTAGAGAGTGTGGATATGGGGAGAGCCTTAGTTTGACATGGAGAAAATATATTTGTTTTTAAAGCATGCCACAAGGAATACTGTGTCCAAGTAAACATTTTTACAGTAATAGCTAGTCTAACTAAAGAAGATATAGTAATCTCAGATTAGTTTTGCAGGTAGTCTAAATCTGTAGTTAATGAGCCTAAACTGGTCTGTTAATGTCCCATCTTTTTAAGTGAAAGCCTGATACCACAGAGCACTTTTAATTTTGTCAGGAATGGACAAGGCAGCCTTTTCCTCAGCACACAGGCTTTGAGATAGACCCCCAGCAGGTGGCTGATGATACAAGTAGTGTATGTATTCTGAAATCCAGTGTACCCAACATTTTAAGCCCTCCAAACCACCAAATAGTGTCTTACCCTGTGTGTCAATACACTAGGTACAAATGAGCATTTTCAGTATTTGAGAACAGCTTCTTTTCCTGTGAAATGAAGGGCTTTCCTGCCTGTTTGCGAGGCACCAGGAAGGAAAGATTGCTTTCCCCTCAGCTTTAAAAGCATTAGCACAATTATCTGACTCTGCACCTGCCTATAGCCATGTTTTAAACAAAAGGATTTTGAACTCTTGTCTTTGAGGAATAAACCTTTAGACTAGGAAGGACTTTGCTTTGGTAAAGAATGGTTATGAAATATGCTTGGGTTGATACCTGATAAGAGGTACCCTGATGGAGGGGGCAGGGGTGCCTATGGCTCCTAAATTCCTGGTCACAGTCAGCCAAGGCAGAAACCCCCTGGGCTGCATTGCAGCTCCTCTCCTGCACATGAACACAAGTCTCCTTCCAGTGGAAACTGGGGTCCAGGAGAAGGCAGAGAGCAAACCTGAATCTTCTCCCAGTGTACACTCAGAGTGCAACCAGTTTATGTTGTTTAGATGGGGGCTATGGTGTCTGCAGGGAGGGAGCTCTTCTGAGGGCAGGCTTCTTGTGGCACCCTTCAGAGGCTGCCTCTCACTGAGATGCTGCACTCATCTGTGAACACAAGCTGGGCTCTCCCTTTATCGTGTTGATGACAGGGTAAGGTTTTCAATAATCCTTGGATATGAAGAGTAGGATGTAGAGTCTGTGGCAGTTATCCTAAATCATGACTGGGAACAGCAGTTGTGATGGAAGCTGTTTTACAACCTAAGCCAGGCTGAAGGGAGTAAAACTCACTGCTGCCTTCCAACTGGTCTTCCCAGGCCAGGTGTCAATGAGTAATTACAGTTATTAGATTGCGCCCTACCTTTCACAGCTGTGCAACAGAGGTGGTGGCATCACACACAGCCATGGAATAAGAGACCAGGGAGAAGAGCTAAATGTCTGCATGGGCATTTCTTCCACACTGGGCACAGTAACTCTCAACAGGACCCTACCTCAGTAGCTCTAGGCATAAAAGTCCTCTTATTTAGTGCTTGTGGCAATTTCACAGCTCAGTCAAAAGCCAAGAAATAAGGATTTTACTGCATATTCCATGTTTCATGCTAGCATTAGCCATAAATCCATAAATATTTATTTAAACTGTCCTAGGACAGATGTTGCAGAGACCAGCACATCTACAAGGATTGTTCTTATTAGGGGTAATGTCCTCAGTGATAGATCACTATTGGTACCATTCAGTCCTTTAGAAACTGCAATTTGGTGGCGGTTTTTCTGTCAAATAATACCTTATTATGGATGATTAATTCTTTCCAAGGTCGACATTTCTTAAAAGTCTGAAGATGCCCTTGACCTGAAGGTTAATATTTTCTTTTGCACAGCTATCTTTAAACTAGCTTTATCTGTATTTGCAATGTAGTTGTCAAACAGCAGTGAACTTGTACCTCCTAGGAGCCCTGCAGTTGGCCATACATGATCATGGGTATAGCTGAGCTCCTGTGTAGCTAGGTTGCTTTATACAGCTGTATACATACAGCTTCCTCATATGCTTATATAGCTGCAAGAGTAGCCCATGGAGTTAGAGAGCTGGGACTGCTATATTCCTGTGCCAAACATGACTTTCTGTGGCGCACAGGATTTGCTTCCAGAAGTAAACATCTTTCTAGGGTTGTGTTTGCGTGTTTGTTTTTCATAATTGTTAACTATTATTTCATCTTGATCTTCTTGTGTCTGGGAATTGATACAATGCGGCTAACAGTAAACAGTAAGATCCAAAAGCTTGTAGGAACAGACTTAATTGCACTTGGGGTTTGCTACAGAGTGAAGTATATTCATGGATTTATAGACTCATAAACTAAAACAGGAGGAAATTTTATAGATACAGAAATAAAGTACTGAATCCCTGAGAGCCTCAGGCTATCAATACCTGAGTCTTTGTAGGAACAGACCGTAAGTTAAGACTATATGCCAAGACAAAAAACTGCAATGCCTTAATACATTCTTTTCCTGACAACCTGGGAACCTTTGGATAATATATGAATTTGGGCTGCTAGAGGTGTCCTAAGGGAACAGCTTGCATAACTGCTAGTAAAAACAGCACTTATGCAGCACAGGAGTTTGAGTAAGTTATTTCTAGTGATCCAGGGGCTGAGTGGTTAGCATAGATCCCAAAAAGCTGGAACCTCAAGTTCAAGCAGGTATTAATGCTTGTTCTCTTGAAACTAGGACATATTAGAGGTGATTTATTTTCTTTTCACTTACATAAAAGTCTGTTGCTTTTGTTTTGCAGGAAGACAAGGCTATGTGAGCTCTATGCAAAGGTTCTGGGATCAGAGGAAGCTTTACACGTAAGCACAAAATTTAAACCACAACATCTCTTGTCAGACTTGTTGAGCTGGGGAGGGGCAGAATGAAACCAGAATCAGAATGCAGCAGTGCTCCAGCACAACGCTGGGTAGCGTTTTGGGGAAAGTACCTGCTATGGCAGCACTTGCTGCCCTGCCATCTGTAGAGGAGTGGAGAGAAGACTGTGGCAAATACTGGGTTGTGTTTGACAGTGAGGATAAGAATGACTTTATGAAACAGTTAAAAGGCAGATACGTTGTCCAGCTTCGTGGGTCTCATTCACAGTGCTTACCACTATACATCTCAACTGTTTTCAGATGTGACAGGCTTGCCTTTCCCTCTCGCTCTATGTTGAACATAATGTTTCTTCTCCTTACTAGTTGCTAAGATCTATTGCTGCACATGTTTTTCTTTTTGCTTTTCCCTTGCCTTCTCTTCCCTGTCATGGTAAATAACTGATAGGATTTGTGTGATCTCGCAGTTTATGTGATCATCACCCTTTGTCATTTAAGGGTAATTTTACACGAGTTAAAAGTTGTAGACATCAGTCTTGAGGTGACATAATTTTAAACACAATGATACTGTATGCAGGACCATGCACGTGCCATACTTTGCATTTTTAACGTTATATATTTGTATCCAATGTACATATTACAAATATTGTACCTGTGTTCACCTTTACATGGCTCAAAGCATAAATTTACATTGACAAATTAAGAGGATTATGTTCTACAGTCACTGGATTAGCTAGTTTTTTAAAAAATAGCTAGCAGTGTCTAAAATTAAGGCTTATTGTGTTGAATCCATGCTGCATTAAGAGACTTGTTAAACGTGCTCATCTTGTCAGATGCTGACGTGCAACAAATCATAAGCTATTCTCCTCTGCTGTCTCCTCAGTTCCTTTATCAGCTTCCTCAGGACTTTGTCCTTTCCTTGAGTGAATTAATCTCTGTTTTACAGCCAGTGCATTATGAAGAGAAGAACTGGTGTGAAGAGCAGTATTCTGGGGGCTGCTACACAGCCTACTTCCCACCAGGCATAATGACTCAGTATGGAAGGTACAGTATCTATTTATAGTGGGCTTCGGAATAGTGAGATAAGACCAAGGTAATAAATATCTTCAGAAAGGGTAATAAATCCTCTGTCACCATTTGCTTTATACCTTTAAGATCACTGGGGAATATTTTAAACAGGTACTATAAACTTCTACTTGTCTCACTTGGGCTTTATGATGGATGAATATAGTATTATTAGGGGTTTTTATTCACTTCTGTTCATTGGCTATTTGAGATCGGTGTTACCATTTCCAGCACATCTTTAGCTTATTTTTTAATAAATACTGGCAGAGAGTTAATTCCTGCCAACAGTGACAGTAATGAGTGATTTCTTTGTACTGCTCCTTTCCTTTTAGGAGTCAAGGCTTAATATAGTAACCAGTGTGCCATTGTATATAGTCCTTTCTGACATAAATTTTTGCATGAAGATAGGATTTGCCAAAAAGAAAAAGGCTTGCTGGTCAGACTGGCTGATTGGATTCAGATACGTAATTTTTAATGTGGTGTCATAACCCGACTTTTGAAGTATATGTTTTCACAACTTAGAGCAATAAAGCAGTTGTAATGAAGAGCATATGGAGACCTTAGTTTTTAAAGTCATTTTAATGATAATCATTGCAAATTCTGGCAAAAATAGGGTAAAAAAATCCTTTTTCATTGAGAGGTACTTCAGAATGCTACACTGTGCCAGTAATACCTAGCATTGGTATTTATGACACTGGCTAAAATTGTGAGATAGAGTAAGCCTCATCTCAGGCTGATGGCCCTTCACACGTATGAGCACTAGATTCACAACCAGTAATAACATTACAAGGAATGCAGAGTAAATGCTTAGAAAATACGAACACTGGTGTGTTTACTGTAAGAATTTAAATGCAATGCAGACTCCACTTCCAGCTCAACTCACCCAAAGTTACTATCTGTAAGTGCTCACTGTTATTTAAAACACTTTTATTCTAATACTAACCCAAGGATTTCAGTTATCTTTCCTGATATGGCTGCTGTGACTTACTGCTTGTCCCCCTCCAGGATTATTCGGCAGCCCGTTGGCAGGATCTATTTTGCTGGCACAGAGACGGCCACAGAGTGGAGCGGATACATGGAGGGCGCTGTACAGGCTGGAGAAAGAGCAGCTAGAGAGGTACAGACACAAGCCCAAAAGAGGGGGCACTGTCAGATATCCTGTGGAAAAATGAAAGATCTTTTGGTTGGAGGTGAAATGGGAACTGGGTGTTGACAGCTACAGGTGTTTTGAAATCTTGATGCAAATCCTTGCAAAGTGGATAGACTTCAAAAAGGACAAAGGTTTTGCACTTAAAATTCGAATGCTTAGGAAGGGATCTGGCTATTTCATCAAACTCTTCTCTTTTTGCAGGAATGAAATAATTTCTTCTTTAACAGAAATCCCAAATTCTTACCTAGTAATTTTTTACCCTATATGGGCATATTGTTAGTTATTGTACTGAGAGATCACTAGGAACAGCTCAGTTCTGCAGCTCGGCAGACCAAGCCAGTCCCTTCCTCAACTGTTTCCAACAATACCATCGACACAGTGATATACCATTGAGATAGCCTTACATGAAGTCATTAAACAAGAACTTAAATATTTTACTTCAGAGAAAATCCCAATTCCTCAAATATTTTCAGGAATGTCACAGTTTATGGAGCAGCAAAAGAAATTTCATCTTTGCTTTATGAGGTGAAGGGAACGTTGTGGCTAAAAACTGCAGTCATAGCACAGTAATTGGCCTGGAGAGTTCATCTAGTCCATACCCCTGCCCCAAAAGACAAGGATCAACTGTCCCTAAACTGTCCCATTTGTGAAGGTTATACTTAACCTGTTACTGAAAACCTCCAGAGGTGGTGCTTCACGACCTCTCTAATGTAGCATTACATTACAGCAGAAGCTCCACAGGTCTCAGCAGAGAAGTTGGCAAGTGAGCTTGACTGGTAAAAAAATTGATGTTTTCTTTTCCTCATTTACTTGTGAAAAGAAAATATGTTTAAAATCCAGTGCAAGGGTGTTTCTCACTCTCCTGTGTTGAAAAGCTGATGGGGTCCATGAATCTTGTCTAGAATAAAAGCCCACTGTAAAAGACAGCAAATCTTGTTAAATCTACAAGTGCCTGGAATAGGAAAAACATTAATGTCACCACCTCAATTTTATTTTACTGTAGAAGTTAATCTTTCTGTCTTTCATGACTATCATTTCAGATAATCTTTGCTATCCTACTCATCTCTGATTTTTTGATACTTTGAATGGTTATTTTTCCATTGTGAAGGTTTTTAGTCTTGGTTGCCCATGCAGCAGCTAGTTTATGCACAGCTCATTCTGCCATGAGTGTATACTTATCTCCTAGTCATGTTCATATTACCCTGTTCCCATAGGACTACTCAAATTCTGGTATCTCACATGGACTAACTAAGCATGGACTAAGGTTTTCTGTTACTGTTTCTACTTCCTTCGAGGGCGAGTGTCTTATTAAATATCGAGCCACCCCAGAAATGAGTTGTACAATGGTCAAGTTTTCTTTAGAATTTGAATCCATAGAGATTTATGTGCTCAATCGTAATCTTCATCATGCCATTTTAAAACAAAAATTGAAGCCAGCCCTTTTTACCTTTCAATGGTACTTACTAGAAAATGTTATTTATTTTCAGATACTGTTTGCTATGAGGAAAATCCCAGACAGTGAAATTTGGAAGCCAGAACCTGAATCAGTTGTAAGTCTTTCTGTAGATTAAATTGATTATTTTTTTTCTGCTGTTTTGCTGATGAGATAAAATTTTATTGACTGTTTTTATTTCAGTTCACTAAACCAAAGCCACAATAACCTTTCCCTTACTCACCAAAACTGCCCTTTCCTAAACAGGAATTTGATATAAATCTAGAAAAGGCAACCATGTGATGACTCTGTAACAGGGAATTGGAAACAACTCTAGTTTTTAACTGGTCTATGAATCCTTTCCGTGTGTCTCTTCTTCCCTTTAACTGAGCATAAAATTTTGATACATCATTCTTCTTCTCAGCATGAACTGCTTCAACCCACTTCTGTTTCTGCTGCAAGAATCTCTTAATTTACATCCTGCACCTCACAGTGGAGATGTTAAATTTATAATGGATGCTCTCCCCACAGGATGTTCCAGCTTTGCCCATCACTACAACCTTCTGGGAGAGGAACTTGCCATCTGTGCCAGGACTGCTAAAGCTGATTGGATTTTCCACTTTCTTCACTTCTGTAGCTGCGGCAGGATTATTTGCTTACAAGAAAGGACTTGTGGTTCGAAACTGAAAAAGGTGCCAATGCAAAGCCTCACACTTGAGCTGTTTGCTTTTTTTCAGAGTATTTTTTTGGCATGTACTTCCCTGTCTCCAAAATTGGATCAGGACTGGGGAAGAGGAGAAAAGAGGCTAGAGGGGAGGGATAAAGTAAGGGGATCCATAGTGAAAAAGAAGCCCTTGAATCCAGATCTACTTCTAGCAGTAACTTTTTTGTTGTTGAATTTCTAGGATACTCTGTTGTTGAATTTCTAGGATACTCTACTTATCACCTTGAGGTTTTTATCCAGATCTCAGAGCAGAAGTGACAAAATACTTCTATAAAGCCTGTTCTGATGAGATTTCCAGTTGTTTTTACACTTATATCTGAACCAGACCCTGAACTCCAAGTCTTCACAAGCACTTCCATCTCTAGTTGTAAACAAAGGTTTTCTAACTTTCTGCGTAGGAAAAGAAGTGCATAGCTTAAAGAATAATTAACCACTTCATGCAAATTGTTGGCAAGGATCTTTTCAGTGTTTTGATTTTTCACCCAGATGTCCAGAGCCCAGGCAGTATCTAAGGGACAAGTCAGGCTCAATTTATCCATCTGAACTATGCAAGTGCAGCCATAGGTTGTTAGTATTTTCAGTGTCATATTTGCCCTACAGTGAGTTAAAGAACTTTTTTTTTTTTTTTTTACTGCTTTTGGCAATGGAGTTGAGTTTCACACTGCCTGGAACAGCAGAGCTTGTGTGTCTAAGTCAAGCCTGTCCCTGTGCAAGATCGTATCTCCACAGCTTAGCAAACTGGCAGGCTCCAGACTACAGCTGATGTGTGCAGCAGTATGGCTGACCAGGCTGTTGGACCTGACTATGAACGGGGAACCTTTTGCTAATGTGATGGTACAGGCACAGCCTTTCTAGCCTTTTTCACCCTGTTTGACATCTCTTTGCCTCCAAGGTCCTCTTTTAGCCCCTGCGTTTCTGCAAGATGGCAAGAGAACAAACTAACATCTGCTGACCCCAGGAAGTTTTAAAGCTGTCCATAAAAACTCTTTTACATCATTTTCTTATTTCCTTCCTTTCTTTAATCTACTTAAGTTTATACTCTGAACACCCTGGGGATGTCTCTTGTCTGGTAGAGCACAATGGGCTTGAAAATGTAGTGTTAGCATAAATAAAACCCCAAACTTTATCTGCTCCCCAACACTTGCTTTATACTGAACACAGCTTAGCTGATTCAGAGCTTCAGTCTCTCCAAACAACCATATTGATGTGATTAGCACTTCCACTTCTGCCTACTGATCAAAGGGAACCATGGATAGGATAGTCTTCTGCCCTCCCTAGCTTGGTACCTTTCAAACAATGTAAAAAAAAAAGAGAAAAAACCCCCAAAGAACAATCAAACAACACCACCTTCCCCCCCCCAAAAAAAAACCCAACCAAAAAACCCCAAAAGAACCCCAGCCACCAAACCTTGCCTGCCTGTCAACAATCAACATCACTGTACCAGGTATTTCTGCTGTTCTACATCTGCCCAACGCAAAAGAGGAGGTCACAGGGATTACTGAGACCAGGATTCGGTGCACATGAAGTTTCAGGAAAAGTTATATGTCTGTAATTTTTCTGAGCCCATTTGCTGCACTTCTGCTTTCAACCAATGTTGATTTATATGTAAATAATCACATTGCAGTAAAAAGCCATGGGGGGAACTATAATAAGAATATACTCAGTAACTGGTGTAAGCAGACAGTAGAAGAACTGTATCACCAGTCTCAGGCAGACTTTTTGGGCTGGCATCTGATCTTGCTTGTGCAGAGTAGTACTTCATTCTCCAAATAGTCCCATAGAAATCCATTGAAGTACTTCTAAAACTGTAATATTTGTGAGCAGGGCATCCGTTTCTGGCCCTTAGGTTTCATTCTTTTAAACTTGATATGCCAGTTAAAAATCTTGTAGCAGCAGCTCGGATTTTATCACAAATGAATATCCTCGTAACAGCCTTTTAAAATGCATAGGGGAACTTTTCAGACATAAAGATCTTTAAGTTGGAAGAACAGTGCAGCAGTGTACATATGGCCTTTCTCATTGTATCACATAGAGCACTAATTGGCTGGGACATTTGCCTACCACAGGCTGCTTCTGCATGGCTTTCTCTCCGTGTGATTTGTTTACTAAATGAATTAGGAACTGAAAGCCAAATGGGAACTGTGTAAACTCAGAGCTTTTGCAACTCAGAATATTCGCAGGCCAGAAATAAACATAGGAACCTAAATTTGGGAAGATATTTTAAAGTCTTGGCCCAATATTTGTAAGTGCTAGACTGTGAATATATACTTAACATATAAAGAACTGCTGCATTTGCAGATGATTTCTCTGCCAAAACTGTTTGGAATTCAAGTCCTGCGTCTGCCCTAGAAATACTCTGCAGGTCTCTAAAGAGGAGCAGATCCATGAGACTAATGAGGATAAACTGGTTTTATTCATGTCCAAAATATATCTCCTCTTTAGTTCTGAATCTGGCAGAGGTTTTTCCCAGACTAACAAGAAAATGATGTGTGCCACATGGACGGAAAATCCAAGGAAAAACAGAAGCTAGGTATAGTTAGAATGGAACTGAGTCATAGCCAAAGTTTTTTTGAGATTGATCAGTTAAAAAAAAAAAAAAAGTGTATATAGTTATAAACCTTTCTTATTCTTAGGTTCAAAGTGAAACAAAAATGGGGAAAAAAACCAAACAGCAACAACAAAACAAACCACAAAGCATTTGCCATGTTATTCTGCACAATTAAAAGCAGGTGTGACTTGAAATCCCAAATTAAATTTGGATCCCCTGAGATTTCTGGCCAAATCTGATGGAACTGGGAGGTCTGAATTGCAACATCTGTATTAGCACTCCAGAGTCTCTATTTTCTTCCTTCCAGACTGCCGAAGCATTAGGAATGTTCTCTTTGTCTTTACAGCTGTGTCTTGCTGCAGTTATGCTCTGGAGCTTATCACCACTATGGGATTAAAAAGAAGGATTTGCTGCTGTTTTCTTGACATCTTCCACATAAAAGGAATATGTGGCACTTTGTGTGTATGGATGCCAGTGTGATGAGAAAATTGACAAATGTAGGTAGAGAATCAAGTTGCTTCCCCATGGGTAGAGGGAGTTGTTAGCATTGGCTTACATTTTAAAAATTCCTTCATGCCAACCCTTCAAAGAGAGGAATGAAGTCTGGCTTAACGGGTAAACAGTTGTGTTATGTTCTTTATTAACATGTTTAATGAGAAATCTGCTATCATGAAAGTTCCAGCAGTTTACCAGCTTCTTAGCTGTATTTGTCTCTTCATAACTGATTTGTGTTATGCATATTTTGTAAGGCTCTTAAGAGTTTGCAAAAAAAAAAAAAAAGAGGTTTACTTGCTTGTACACTGTTCTGATAGCAACTGTCTATTGCAAAGGATGTTGGGTCATGGCATGAAAATCCATGTTAACCAAAGTACTTGAAAAGCTAATTGTATAAACTACTAGACAATAACAAGGTAGTGACCAATCTGAGGCAAACCCCCATCTTTAACTAGTGCATTTTTTTTCTCAATGCAGATCTTGATTCCAGTTAGCACATCTGCTGTCAATACAACAAAGACATTAATCACAATTAAGTATATGTCTGAGCATTGTCCATCACTGGAAGCCAAGTCCTGGAGGAGAAGCTAGGGACTTCTGTTAAAATAATCTTCCTGTGTCCACAGTGGGACAATTGTTTCACTGAGGTGGACTTCACAGAAATGCAGAAATTTTAAGGTTGGTTGGGGTTTTTTTGTTGTTTGGTTTTTTTTTTTTTGGTTGTTTTTTTTGTTGTTGTTGGGTTGTTTTTTTTTTTTGAGACATGAAAAAAAAAAAATTTGGAGGAAGAAGGAATTGTGTGTCCTCCAAAAATATTTGGATGCAAAAGGGAGCCAGGATTAAATGAAAACAGATCTGCCACTATTCTCGAGCAAGAAGCAAACCCACTTAAATCACAGATTACAAATGCTCCCAAATAAACCTGACCTGTGTTTAAATGGACTAACATTCCTTCTCCTGTCTCCACCACCTTAAGATCACCTTGATCTTACAGTCTGTTCTTCAGTAGAGATAAAAACAAGTTGGCCAAAGCAGTCTTGCTTTCAAAGTATCTCTACAGTGAAATAATTTAGCCATTAGACTGCTGCTTATAGCGTGTCTCCTGTGGTCATGTACAGGTCAGTGTTCAGTGATGCCTGCCTCTGTGTTTTGGAAAAGAAGAGTGACTTCACGTTGCAGGAATATATATGCTGTGTGTGTGATGAATTTGTGCCTTTTATAACTGTAGCATTTTCTCAAGTGCCTCTGTGGTGACTTGTCTCCCTTGGTTTCCTTCTTAAGTTCCCTTTTCAATAGGCTCTGCAGATATTTTTTTATCTGACAGCTGTGAACTTTTTTTAACCTTAATTAGAATCAATAAATATTGTCATGTCACATGCACTGCTCGCAGCTTTTCTTTTTTGGAAGCACCTTTTGACTTCGTTGTGGTGATGAGCATTACTTAGTAACACAAAATTTTGCATTTCATACTGAAGCCAGTGAGATGTCTTCAGCTTTTCTCAGTAAAGAAAGCTCTGTAAAGAAGGAGAGAAGGATAAAAAACCCCAAACAACCCCACCCAAAACCTCCCAAACTCTGAAAAAAACAAACACCAAAAAAATCAACCCCCATTTGACAGTAATTCTTCCTAACATAGATGGCCAACTGTCTTACAGTTAAGAATTAGTTTTTATTGCTGTAGGTGTATTTGGAGTGTCCATCATGAACATACCTCTCTCACAACACCTTGTTTACTAGCACATGTTGGGTGGACATGTTTTATAGCTCCTCATAAGAGTCAAGGGCAGGTGCTATGTGGCTGTAACCATACAGGGGAAGAAACAGGCCTTGTAGCAAATACTGTGTGGTGTAAATGTAAGAAACCTGGAAGAAAAGAGAGACAAAAATCACTGGTGCTTAACTTCATCCAGCAGTTCAGTG